GGGTCTTTGCAGTGCCCCTCCCCCCGCCTGGGACCCTCTTCATCCGGAGATTCTGACCATAGTTTCCCCTTGTTGTTCAGGTCTCAGTTCCAACGTCCTCTCACACAGACCTTTCCCGACCACCACTTTGGTCACTGTGGCCTTGTCTTTCAAGAATTCCTCCATAGGCAACTGGCCTATGGACTTGTGTATCATCCGTCATTCGTGGGGAGAACAAAAGCTTGTAGACCTCAGAGCGGGACCCTACCCATGTCATTTACCACTGTTTTCGTACAGCGCAGGAGCTTGCCTGGCATGTACATAGCCAGTTCTTAGTTTTTATTGACTGAATCAATGAGTTACAGATATGAGTTAAGAGTTTCTCTATCTGTATCATGGAGATAATAGTGCCTCCCTACAGGGTCAGTGGAGATTGTAAGAGAAGATGTTTTTAAAGTGCTTAGCACAGTGCTGGGCAAATAGTAAGTGTGCTGTACACAGTGGCCCAGTTATTAGTGTCTCTGCCCACATCCCCCCTCCCAAGTTTATAAGCTCCTCTAGGGTCCAAATTATGGCTTTTTTATATAATTCATATTGCACACCTACAGTAGGCACTCGATAAAAGTTGCTCTAAATGAAATGAAATTTCCTTTTAATCAACTAAACCTTCAAATAAATGAAATAGAAAACATACCAAATCCAGCTAAGCTGATCTTTTCCTCCCAGCTCCTGAGCCCTGCACTCAGTGAGGGGTTCCCAGACTATGCTGTCCTGGGGGGGTCAGGGAATTAGGTGACTGTCCCCATATGGAGTCACCCAGAGCACCTGTACATTCCAGTTCGCTCGTGTGCTTCCCGGTACGTTTTTCTCCGTGAGGCTGCCTGTGCTTTGAATCTTACTAGGATTTGTATCCTCAGTGGCTGGCTCCTTGCTTCCTGGCACTCAGTACAGAAGCGCTGAAGGATAGGCGTGCAGTGAAGGGACAATGGCACATAATTAAGAGTGTAGACTCTGGACTCAAAGCACCTGGATTCAAATCCTAGCTTCCGCCACTCACCAGCTGTGAGGCTTTGGACAAGTCACTTAACCTCTCTGTGCCTTGCGTTCCTTTATGAATATAAAATGAGGATAACAAAGTACCACCCTCACACTTATTGTAGCAGTTACATAGGACGTCCTGAAAATAGTGTGTTTGATTCTATATGTGCATCTCATTTCACATAGATGTGCCCTGGGCAGTTCTCGGCTCATAATAGACATTCAGTAGAGTTTATTGAATTACACTGAAGAGTTGTGTGTGAATGGAATTTTGTGTAAACAAAAGCATATTTAAACAGACAGGGAGGATTTGCTGTAATTGATCTTTTGTAATATGTGTAAGCATGTCTTGATTGATTTTTCAACTTTATATTTATTCTGCTAGATCCGGTAAATGTGAAATATGTTGGGAAATAGATCTTCCCCCAAATCAGTTTAAAAACACTTTCAGAGAACAAATTACTTTCAGAGAGAGAAAAAAAAAAACTTTGGTGGTTCCAGCTTGGGGTCTTAGTTTGAAGTGAAAATTCTTTTTTTCTTTTTTTTTGGAGTTTTAATTTATTTTATTTATTTTTAATTTATTTATTTTTTATTTATTTTTTAAATTGATTATACTGTTACAGTTGTTCTATTCCCCCCTTATTCCCCTCCACCCTACCCCCCCGTCCCCACCATTACCCCCCCGTTAGTTTATGACCATGTGTCTCAAGTCCTTTAGATTCTATATTTCCCATACTATTCTTACCCCCCCATCTATTTTCTATCTACTGTCTATGCTACTTATTTTCTGTACCTTCTCCCCCCTTCTCCTCCTCCCACTCCCCTGTTGCTAACCCTCCTTGAGATCTTCATTTCTATGTTTCCACTCCTGATCTAGCTGTCCGTTTAGTTTGCTTTTGTTTTAGGTGTGGTTGTTAATAACTGTGAGCTTGTTGTCCTTTCACTGTTCATGTTTCTTTAACTTCTTTTTCTTAGATAAGTCCCTTTAACATTTCATATAATAAGGGCTTGGTGATGATGAACTCCTTGAATCTGATCTTATCTGAGAAGCACCTTATCTGTCCTTCCGTTCTAAATGAAAGTTTTGCTGGATAGAGCAATCTTGGTTGTAGGTCTTTGGATTTCATGACTTGGAATACCTCTTTCCAGCCCCTTCTTGCCTGGAAGGTCTCTTTTGAGAAATCCGCTGACAGTCTGATGGGGACTCCTTTGTAGGTGACTGTCCCCTTAGTGCTTGCTGCTTCTAGGATTCTCTCCATTTTAATCTTGGCTAATGTAATTATGGTATGCCTTGGTGTGTTTCTTCTTGGGTCCAACTTCTTTGGGACTCTCTGAGCTTCCTGGATTTCCTGGAAGTCTATTTCCTTTGCCAGATTGGGGAAATTCTCCTTTATTATTTGTTCAAATAAGTTTTCCACTGGTGGCTGTGCCTTTCCCCCTTCTGGTACCCCTATAATTCGGATGTTGGAGCGTTTAAAGATGTCCTGGAGGTTCCTAAGGCTCTCCTCATTTCTTTGAATTCTTGCTCCTTGACTCTTTTCTGTTTGGCCATTATTTGCTTTCTTCTGGTCCACTCCATTGATTTGAGTCCCAGTTTCCTTTTCATCGCTATGGGTTTCCTGTGCAATTCCATTCATTTCCATTAGTTTCGTCTTCATATGTTTCTCTAATTTGTGGCTATAATCAACCAGTTCTGTGAGGATCCTGATGACCTGTGTTTTAAACTGTGCGTCTGAGAGTTTTGCTATTTCTTCATCGCTTAGATTTATAGGCTCTGGGGCTTTGAGATCTTCTTGAGCCATTTTTGGTCTGTTTGTGCCCGTTAAGTATGAGGAGCAGAGCCTTGGACTCCCAGGTCGCTGGGTTGTGACGCTGTATGTGGAGGCGTGGTCAGAGTGGGGAAATGGCGGCGCCCTCTGCTGTGGCTTGCCGCTGGGCCCGCTGGCTCTCGTCCAATCGCCCACTCCCACACTTGTCTATCCACACACAAATGCACGACCACAGTCAACCCACAGCCCTGCTCCCTCGCTGTTTCCCCGCGGTCGCTTGCTGAGTTGCCCACCAGGTCCAACCCTGCACCTGGATTCCGTGCGCCTGAGTCCGTCTGACCGAGTTTTCCTGTGCAACCCCGCTCCGCCAGCTGCTGGTTTCGCCCCTTACCGGTCAGGCTGAAGAATTTGTTGTTATCCGACTTCCGAAAAGTTCAATTTTCTGTGTTCTGGCTGTGTTTTCTGTTGCTATTATTCAGTTGTCTCTAAACTTGGTTGTGTGAGAAAGCACGGCGCCTCCACCTGTGCCTCCATCTTGGCGGAAAGTGGAAATTCTTTCCAAGCAGATAATACTCTCCTTTTTTGGTTTTACAGTTTTCTAAGTTTACTTTCTTCTGTGGACCTTTCTAAAGCTTTCTCTGGGCCTTAACTAGAACAGTAAGAACCGAGTTCAGCCAAGTAACTCTTAGAAACCTTACTCCTTTTCAGTCTACACTGGGCAGAAATAGGGGCACAAGAGAAAGTTCTCACTGTCGATTAGTAACAAAGTTCAGTGCCAGATGCAACTGTTTCAGAGCAGTGGGCTCTGTTTAAATGAGGGCACGGAAAACCTTCTGATCAGTCTTTTTCTTTCTAGTTGGGAAAATTTTTTAAATTTAATTTTTAAAAAGATTTTATTTATTGTTAGAGGGGAAAGGAGGGAGAAAGAGAGGGAGAGAAACATCAGTGTGTGGTTGCCTCTCATGTGCCCCCCCACTGGGGACCTGGCCTGCAACCCAGGCATGTGCCCTGACTGGGAATCGAACCAGCGACCCTTTGGTTCGAAGCTTGTGTTCAATCCATTGAGCTACACCAGTGGCCGGGGGGGGGGATTTTTTAAATATTGTAATAATATAATTGAAGTCATTTAATACCATTGATAGAGAAACATTGTGTGCTGAGCTAAATGGAATAGCAGGAACTATAAGAGTCGGCACTTTCTCCAAAGGAAATCTGGCCCCATGTCTAGAAAACCAGTGTGTTTTCATGGGTACTCTTAGCAAGTATTTGAGCAGACCATCCATTTAATCATGGTCTTAAGGGACTAGCACTCCGTACACTCTGATCCAACACAGGGTGTTTGAACACAGCTGGGGGGGGGGGAGCACACGTCATTCCCCTTTGTGCTGCGAGAGCAGAGGCCACAGCAGGCTCCGCGATGGCCAGTGGCCTCTGTGACCCTTCAGGGTTTGAAAGTGTCTGTTTTCAGTGTTTTAGGCTAGATTCTTCTTGCTTGCTGATAGTGAAGGCTCAGCGTTCAGAAACCTTACCAAGTGGGTTTTCTATTCAAACGCCGCCTTAGTAACGATGGAACAAGCCCTCACGGATGATGGTCCCATGGGCCGGTCATCGCAGGTTTGGGTCGCAGCAGTGGGTTTGAAAGCCATGGACCCTTCCACCTGATTCTGCAAGGACTTTCTGTAGCCATGTGTGAGGTGTGTGTGTGTGCGTATGTGTAATGAATATAAGCGATGGCCATGAGGTTGGAAAAAGGTACACAACACTGGCCATTGTGAACTAAATTGTGCCCCCCCCCCATGAAATTCATCTGCTGAAGCACTGACACCCCTCCCCTGCCCTGTGGTGGTGTTGGGAGGGGCCATTGGGAGATAACCAGGGCCGGATGAGGTCACGAAGGCGAGGCGGTCGGGATGGGATTCGTGCCCTCAGAGGAGGAAACGTGAGAGGGCTCTGCCCTGCGAGGCTGTAGGTGGCAGCCTGTAAGCCAGGAGGAAAGCCTCACCAGGGGGCCCACCTAGCGGGCACCTTGATCTTGGACCTGCCAGCACTAGAACTGTGAAAAGTAAATTCCTGGAGTACAAGCCACCTGGTTTGTGACATTTTGTCATGGCAGCCGGGGCTGCCTAACACACTGGCTCTAACCACATGAGCCACAGACAAATGAATAACTCATTCATTTAAAGATTTTATTCATTTCATTTTAGAGAGGAGGAAAGACAGGGAGAGAAACATCAATGTGTTAGAGACACATCGGTCAGTTGCCCCCCCCCACTGAGGACCTGGCTCACAACCCAAGCATGCGACCTGGCTGGGCATTGAACCAGCAACCGTTGGGTTCACAGGCCGGCACTTAATCCACTGAGCCACACCAGCCAGGGCAACGACTCATTCCTTCAATCACCCTTTTGTTAATTCAGTTACTCATTCTGCTACTATGTACTGGGCCCCAGTGAAGGGACTGAAGAAACAATGGTAAACAAGGAAGAGCGGAAGTCCCTCTCCTACAGCTTATGGTCTTCTGGGAGAGACAGGCATTAACTGAGTCACACTAGGACCACAGACCCACAGTGTCACCCACACAGTGGTGACGCAAGGCGTGAAGGCGAGGTCCTTGGAGCAGAGAAGGCATGGGAGGCAAAAGGGACAGAAAAAAGACAGTGTGGCTGAGCGGTACCTGCGAAGGCTGGAGGCTGGGCAGGGGCACATATTCCAGGGCTTGGGGGCCATGCTAAGGAGGCCTTGCAGCCAGGGTGTCTGTGATCAGACCTGGGGGGCCGTGGCAGCTCGAACAGGGCGTTGTGGTGATAGAAGATGGGGAATTTGAAGAAATATTTGAGACGGAGAGGACAGAGCTTGAGTAGGTGTTGGCAATGAAGGGGGAATAAAGTCAGGTGTGAGTTTCAGATTTCTGGCTTGAGAAAGTGGATGACATACTCGCGCCAGTCACTGAGATGGGGACCAGGACTGGGAAGAAAGACCATGTACCTGGTGTTGGACAAGCCGAGTGGACGAGTCTCTGAGACAGCCAAGAGGAAATGTCAGCAAGCAGGTGGATATGATAGGATATGTTTGCTTCTACAGCCACATGTGGCCATCTACCATTTAAATTAATTGAAGTTAAATCTTTAGTTTCTCAGTTGCACTGGTCACATTTCAGATGCTCAACAGCTACATGTGGCTAGTGGCTTTTGCATGGGATGGTGCAGCTCTGGAGCCTGGAGAGGCGATCTGGATGGGAAATATAAAGATTTGACCCCTGTGTAGATGACACTGAAGAGTATGGATGGGACTGTCCAGGAGGAGGGCAGTCATGAAGAGAGGAAGTGGCTGGGACTGAGCCCCGAGGACCGTCAACGTGTACAGGCTGGGGAGGGAAGAGGGAGCCCTCAGTGGACACTGAGCGGAGGCGGTCGGGGCGCCGGAGAACCATGAGCGCTTCATCCTAAATGTCAAGGGAAAAGAGCGTCTGGAGAAGGAGGAACGAGCAACAGCAAAGTGCTCCTGGAAGGTCAAAGTGGAGGAGGACTGGACATAGTCATTGCATCAGGGAAGTAAAGGTCACTGGTGACTTCAGCCAGCGCCACCGCAGAGGGGGGCGGAGCCTAGAGGCGGGGCAGTGCGTCAGAGGGAAGCCAGGGAGTGGAGAGCAGCTGACAGTAGAGGATGGGAACCCATCCGCTTCCTGTGTCAGGGATGCGGGGAGCAGCTTCGCCCAGATCAGGGTCCAGTCAGTAGCGAGGACAGATGTCTTCACGTGGTTTATGCTGCCGAGTCCCCAACGCTGGGTCTTTGTCATGAAATGTGGGGGGTCCTCATCTGCTGTTCGTCCTTCCTACCCCAGCTGTCTTGGAGAGTAGGTGTGAGCCAGACCAAGGGGTGGGGGGAGCTTGGAGGCCATGTGAACAGCTCGGCATTCTCACAGAAACAGAAAGAAATTGGAAGCATTTCTTTTTAACTTAAAAAATGTTACTAACTAGAATTCAGAGCAAACACAAGAATACAGAAAAGTAGACTAAATCCTGCATGTACTGCTCATCATCTGGCCCCAACTCGCTTCAGCCGCGGGTCCTGCTCCACCCACATGCCCATTTCCTTTGACTGAAGACTCTTGAGCATGGGCTTGATTATATTTCTGCTAGGAAGATCGTTCTTGCTGCTCGGTAGAGCAGGAGCCAGCAAGCTTCCGCCTTATGGGGCCAGATGGTAAATATTTTAGGCTCTGTAGGTCACAGCAGCCTCTGTGACAGCTACTCAACGCCGCTTTTCTAGAGTGAAAGCGGCCGAGACCGTCTGTGCACAGGGAGGGGTGTCTGCGTCCCAAAGGAACTGGAAGTCAGGCAGTGCTGTGTAAATTCCATGTCAGTTTCATGTCACAGATTTTTCCCCTAATTTTTTTCTCTCCTGCCCATTACAAAAGTGTAAAGATTGTTTCTGCTCAGAAGCAGTTCGAAAGCAGGAGGAGAGCCCCATTTGGGCTGGAGTCTCCCAACTCCTAGGTGGAAAAAACTGGGGGGAGCAGGAGAGGCTGCAGGCAGACCCACCCCAGGCCATCACAGGCGTCAGGAACAGAGCCCGTGGTACCAGCAAGGAGAGCTGGGTAACTGCAGCTAAGTACCGTGGACTCTACAGGCTCCAGGCATAATGTTGGGGCTGAAGATACACAAACAAATGAGTAATGCGTAGGGTTTTTTTTTTTTTTTTCTGCCATAGGGTCTAGTTGGGGACAGACTTTTTCCCCTTGTATCATATAGTAATCACAATAATAATTAAACTATTTATATATACATATATACATACACACACATACACATATATATTGCTATAGGCTGTAGGTGAGATATTGATTAATTCTGTTTGAGAAACATCAAACGTGACTTCCAAGAATGACATTTAGGTAGGCACTGCAAAGACGAGCAGAAGCTCACCATTCGGGGGAGGGAAAGCTATTCAAGGCTGAGGGGGAAGCTCCTCCATGCAAAGATGGACACACACAGGAAGCTTGAAACTCAAGCGTCTGCCCCATCTCTCTCTTGAACTACTGCCAGCTGGAGGGGACTGAGGAGAGGACTGAATACATTCGTAGGCTGAGAGACCTGTAAACACCTAGTATCTGAGGTTTTCCGAGGGAGGCTGTGTGGATAAACATTAAATGGTCATACCCGATGCAGGCCTGGCTACATCTCCCATCTCTCTTACACCCCCTCCTCATCCACTCAGCTGCAGGCACAATGGCTTTGCTGTTTCCCCAAAATGCTACTGACTCCTGGCCCTTTGCCCTTGCTGTTCCCCTGGCCTAGAGTCTGTTTCCTACTTTACCTCACGGCCCAGATCCCTTCTCTGACCGGCCTTTCTAACATAAACATGACTCTCTCAGGTTTCCCTGGTTGCTTTCCTACCTCCCCACCCCCACCATAGTATTTATTATTACCTCCTTCATTTGATGTCCAGTTCCCCCAGTAGGATGTAAACTTCATGAGGGCAGAGTCTTTGTTTTGCTGATGGGTATCTCCAGAGTCTAGAACTGTGCCTGGCAAAACAGACACACAAGAGTATTAGTCAGATATGATGAAGTAGAGAGGGAGGCACGTGGGCTGGAGGTGGGGGGAATGAGCTGCAGGAGTGAAAGCCCTGTTGGCCTCTGTTTGACTGGCTAAGGAATGTGGGAATTGGTCTTTTGAAAGGAGAGAGGGACACAAGGTTTGGAACATCTGTGGGAAATGTGGAGACAGTTGGGAATTCAAACCCCTGAACTCAAGCCAAATAGATAGCGATGAATTGTATGTGCCTGGGGGGGAGGTGAGGTCCAAAGAGAAGACAGCTCTGCTCCCAGCTGGTGGTAGCCTGACTTCTCTTACTTGGGCTTGAGTGCAGAATTGTAGAGTAGGGAGAAGCAGGAAGAGGCTCTAGACCCAGTAGGCAGGTGGGGGCAGGGAGGAATGAGGGTTGGAAGAGAGAAAACAAGGCATCCAAGAGCCTTTGGTGAGTGGCACAGAGTTGAAGGAATGAAACTAAAGCTTAGACAGGTTTTTTAAAAAATTGTTTGTTACACACTTCTAGGGTTTAAAAAAAGAGAAGAAAACAAAACCCCCAACATAAACATACCTGCTATTTGGCAGCAGGGAATTCTCATTTGGCTGGAAGTGAGTTTCGGGGCAGAGTGCCACCTGCTGTCCCCTTTTCCTTCCCTCCCTCTCCCCAGGCAGGTCATCTGTGAAACAGGCAGAAGATAAATAGAATGGGACCGTCTTATTCCAAGTCCTCTCTCTCTCTGCTTCTATGTCCATCTTCATTGTCTTATTAATAAGCCAGGGCTGCCAGTGCTCACACTGGGTAGAATTTACTACTGTGTGTTGGTCACTGCAGTTTCTGGGTGGTAAAAAGAGATGTTTTTTCATTGTTGAGAACAGGGGAGGCTTAGTGACTGATATCCAGATTTTTTTTAAAAACATTAAAAATTTATTTATTTATTTATTTTTAGAGAGGGGAAGGGAAGGAGAAAGAAAGGGACAGGAACATCAATGTGTGGTTGCCTCTCATGCACCCCCTCACCCCCCAGGGTCCAGGCCCACAACCCAGGCATGTGCCCCAACTGAGAATTGAACCGGAGAGCCCTTGATTCACAGGCAGGTACTCAAGCCACTGAGCCACACCAGCCAGGGCCAGAATTCTTTTCTGAGATTTCCTTGTATGCAAAAAAAAAAAAAAAGAAAGAAAAAAGAAAAAAAGAAAAGTAGTGGGAGATAAAGTTGGGTTTTGGTGCTAAATAGTCCTTTGGTGAGCTGCGGGCTGCCAGAAAAGGATTCTTGCTTTCCACAAATGTGCTACATTTCAGAATTAAGTTTCTTTGATTTTTATTAAGATTCTCCAATTTAACATGATCTCTTCTTCCCAGCAACTTGCTTCACTCCTCACAAGTACACTTGGTAACTTATGTAATTACTCATTATTGATATACTTAGCTATGGGCTTTAGTGTCCATGCAGTTTTTATTTGGTTCATTGATGTATCTCCAGCACTTAGAAGACTATCCAGCGCAGGGTAGGAATTTGATGAATATTTACTGAACCAGTGAAGGGATAAATTTCCTGTACTGAACACAGAACAATTTTCTTAAAATAACTAAGCTTCAGAGTTTTGGAGAACTTTGAACGGTTAAATACATTAGCCATAGCTGGGCATTTCCAGGTATGTAGCAGGATGGGGCAATGTGGAGTTTGATGGAGATTCTGGTTAGGGGTTTGTTGGACTCACAAAGAACTGTCCATCTTTGAAGCTGGGAAAATCCAGGTGCTTTACCACTGCTGAGACTCTCAGCGAAAAGAGGTTGAGTGAGGCGTGCACGGACGGTTTAACCAGAACGGGAGCTCGGGGAGTGGGGGGTCCCCGGAGTCTGTCTCCCTGGAACGCGCAGGGTGCCAGACCAGCTCCGCTGCGCCGTCGAGGGCAGCCGCTGCCCTCGCTACGAGGACAGCACGAACTCCAGGATACTCTTGAGCAGTGGAGAAGAAGCTCCTTAGAATGCCGCTGTACACATTCTTAACCTTTTTTGCGGGGTTTATTTTTTATTATGGTAAAATATGCATAAAATTTTACCATTTGAGTCACGGCTAAGCGTACTCTCTGTAAATTACAGAAAGTCACGCAGGAGTTTGAGACTAGAATCTGGGCCACGGCTAATGAGACGAAAGGCTGGGAGCTCCTTCCCCCGAGGAACTCCCGGACTGTGTTCGGGGCCGACCCGCCGCTGCGAATCTCGATCTCGTCGGGACATGGTGGTCCTCGCCGCCTCCAGGCACAGCGGCCTTCCCCGCGGCCCGCGAGACCTCCCACGTGTGGCCATCGCTCGGGCCGAGCCCAGCTGCCGAGGGGGTGGGCACGGTCCAGGCGCCCAGGCGGGACCCGGGGATCTCGAAAGCCAAGGGTTCACCCCTCTGCTCGGTCGGGGGCTGCAGCGGCAGCGACGGCCCCTCGCTCCTCGCGTGTCCCCGGGGCTCCGCTAGGAGGCGCGCCCTCCAGTCGCTCCGCCGCGCGCCCCCGAGAGCACGGCTTCCGCCCCAGAGAAAGGAAAGGGCGCGCGCCCGCCCCGCCTCCCGCGTCCCCGCGCCTCCCCTCCCCCAGGCGCGCCCTGCCGGCCGAGGGCCGGGCCGCGGGAGGCGGAGCCGGCGCGGCCCGGAGGGGGCCAGGCCCCGGGATTAGTTGGTTTCGGAGCGGAGGAGGGAGCCCGGCGGTCGCGAGCGCGGAGGAGACAAAGCCGCGGCCGGAGCCCTGTGGGGGTTGGGCCCCGGGCTCGCAGGCGCCCCAGCTCGCCAAGTGGGCCGTGCGGACCCGCGCAGCGCGCCGCCCCGCCCGCCGCCGCCTCGCAACAGGTCCGCCGCCTCGGGGCGGCCTCGCTCCGGGCTCCCCTCCCCCGCACCCCGCGACCCCGGGGCGCCTCCGCTCGACTTCAGGCCGCCCTCGGCCACCCGCTTCGATGCGGTTCGGCTCCAAGATGATGCCAGTAAGTGGGCAGCTGGGCTGGGGTCGGGGCGTCGGGCCCAGAAGTGTGTGGGGTCCTGGGTGGGGGGCCCAGCCCATCCGGGGCCTGAGCCTGCGTGGCGGGGCCGGTGTATCGGGAACCGCGGGGAGCGGCCGCGACTTCCACGGGTTCCCACCCCGCGCCGGGTGGGCGGGAGCAGGGAGACCCTGCCCGGGACGAGGGTCCTCGTAGCTGCTCCAGAGCAGCCACTCAAACTTTTCTTTTTCTCTCTGGCTGGGTGCTGACTTTTTGCAGTTCTTGAAAGTCAAAAGCAGGGAAACCGAGAATCTTATTGCTTTGCCTTAAAAACAAAATCAAAACCAAACAACTTTCGTTGGAATGAAATATACATACCGAAAAGAGTGCTCTTGCTTGCTTTTTAATTGAATTTCGATCTTCGTACTTGCAGTAGCAGGAAAGCCGCTCCATCTCTTTCTGGAAAACTGGTTTTATTAAATGCAATCGCAGAGTTTTTGATCGCACTGAAACGCTTGTGTCTGCTCGCCCTGAGGGGGTTAGTGAGCTCCTCCTGTGCTCCGCCGCCTTCGGACTCGGCCACCAGGCCACAGGTGTACAGCAGGCTTGAGGTGTGTTTGAAATGCCTCCTTCCAACGGCCGGCCGCACAGTCTGGGAGTCTGCAGTGGCTTCTGCAGACTTCCCGGGAGTGTGTTTTCCCTAGGAAGTTGCCCTTGCACCCTTCCCAGTGAGGCAGGATCGTCTTGGAGTTTTCTCATGGCTGCATTTGTCCTAACACAGAAGTAACGTTTACTTTTCCACAGTCTGTGGATCGGAGTGACTACACATTTCGTTTGCTGACACAGACTCAGAGGACACTTACTCTGTTCCCTGGCTCCCTCCACTTGTGTCACACGAAGGGGTCCTGAACCTTCATGCAGGAAATCAACCCAATTTATTGGAACTGATCATTGAGTTTAGATAGTTTGGGATCTTTTGTCCCACCAGGCGCCAAGGAACTTGAAAGTGTTAATAGAAGTGCGTGTCCTATTTTGGTCTCATGCCTGGTTATGAAGTTAGGTGTGTGATGTGAATGGCCAATAAGCACAGACTATAGATAAGTGGGGAAGGAGTTTGCTGTTAAATTGTTTACCCCTGGGATTAACATTTCTTTGCCCCAGAACAACTCTTGCTGGCTGGCTGTGCATTTTTCCTACAGATAAGAGCAAGACAAGGGTTGGTGGTTGCAATATGATTTCTTCCTTAAAGATCAGTTTTATGTCAAGCTATCCTTTAGGCTTTCTTAACACTTTTGCCTCCTCCTGCCAACTGCATGCCAGATCATCAGGATTTGTGGAAAGTTATGTAGCTCTTGAGATGATATTTAATTTAGCAGTGTGGTTCTTTCCGATGGCCTTTCTGATGTCAGAGGAGGAGTGTAACAGACTGGTGGTGAGGTGCGCTGTGAAGCCAGACTAACCCTCAGGATTTGCTCAGCTACCACCTCTGTGACCATAGGCCTTTTTTCTTTCTTTTTTAAAAAAGATTTTATTTATTTATCCTAAGAGGGAAAGGAAAGGGGAGAGAGAGAGAGAAATATCAATGTGTGGTTGTCTCTCATGCGTCCCCTGCTGGGAACTGGCCTGCAACCCAGGGATGTGCCCTGACTGGGAATCATACCGCAACCCTTTGGTTCACAGGCCTGCGCTCAATCCACTGAGCTACACCAGCCAGGGAGGCCTTTTTTCTTTTTTAATTTGTTCCTTAGTTTCATCATCTGTAAAATGGGGATAATAATAGTACTGCGTCCTTAGGGTGGTGTGAGGATTAAGGTTACTGGTTATGAAGTAATTAGTTAAGTGCCGAGCTTGGAAAAGATGCTAGGTAAGAGCCTCTCCTGAATTTACAGTATCGGTTAAGTTGAGATTTTCTTGCAATACATAAACATGTGAAAATAAATTTTTATTTCGTAAGCTCATATTATATATGTCTTTATCCTGTAATATTTTGAGTACTTGCAAATAAGACTTTTCTTAAATATATTTCTCATTTCTAGCTTCTAATATGGATTTTATTTCAGCATTGAGGGAGATTTTGAATTTCCTTTGAAAAACCTAACTGGCTTACCAGAAAAAGCATTATGTTTCATATGAGGAAAATTGGACAATGTTGGAATACAGGTAGTTGCCTTGACACGCGTTTTGGTTGTGGTGGGGACAGGAACTTAATATCAGGATGACCACTGTAACCATCGAGGTGGGCGGCGCTGGCAGCATTAGGAGTGCCTTCCTTGGTTTGCTTCTAAAGGCACACTGCAGTGTGGACTGTGTTATATTAAAAACGTGCGAGTAAATGTTCATGTGTTTTCTCACCCAGCGGTAGAGAATCAAGCGATTTTTCTCTCATGTGGGACTGGAAGTGATAATTGGACCCAGAAGCAGAAGGGGAAGGTGCATGCCAGTAGGTTAACTAAAAATAGGTAGACGGTGCCGAGCATCACAGTGGAGGTGGTGACGGGGTGCTGCAGAAGGGGGCATGCCGACCTACTCGGTGTGCAGGGCCCGCCGCAGTCGCCAGTTCTGGGATATTCCCACTCCTCTTGAGGAGACACTCATGGGTCTTTCACACTTGACACCTAATTTGCCTTCACTCAGCAAAGGGCTCGTTTGCAGTCGGGGAGCGTGGGTTTTTCGTGAGCTGCTCTCCTTGTGTTTCATTGTCAAAGAGAACTAATTATTCAAGGCAAAAGCTCTCAGC